ATTATGGTGACAATGACTCAATGAATATAGAATCTCAATAAAGAGACATTTCAAAAAAGAATCATCTAGCATTGATAAGTACAGTAACTAAAAGGGGCTTGTATCACTCAGGGTTCTCCAGAGAAACAGAACCAGTAGACCATGTATATTAACAGATTTATTTCACAGAAGTGGCTTATGCAGTTGTGGGGGCAGGCTGGCAGGTTGCTGACTCTTAGGCAGAAATTGTCACTGCAGTATTGTCGTGTTACTTCTTCCTTAAGAAAACCTCACTTTTCCTTTTAAGATCTTTCAACTAATTGAATGAGGGCTTCCGAAAGTACTGAGGATCATCTACTGTATTTAAAACTCAATTAATTGTAAATGTTGACTAGATCACAAAACACCTTCATAGCAGCACCTAGATTAGTGTTTGGTTGGATTAACTGAGTACTATAGCCCAGCCAGGCTGACATACAAATTAACCACATCTACTGCTTGTTTCCCTGGTGGCTCAGAGGTTAAAGCATCTGCCTGCAATGTGGGAGACCTGGGTTCAATCCCTGGGTAGGGAAGATCCCCTGGAGAAGGAAATGGCAACCTACTCCAGTATTCTTGCCTGGAAAATCTTATGGACAGGAGCCTGATCCATGGGGCTGCAGAGTCAGACACAACTGAGTCACTTCACTTTCACTTTCACCCCTTGTTGATTTGGTACCTCATACCTGTCCTTAAACTGTATTTAATCTCCAAATAAAGACAATAACAGTATTTCTATCTAATATTAATAACTATGAATCCATTTTTAAATGCATTATATAACAAAGGACATAAACACTGTTTTTGGTTTTATGGGAAGAAGACATAAGTTTATAAAGCATGATTCTTGATGAACAGTTAATATTACACTAGAGAGAGAAGACATGCAATTAACTATAAAATTTTCTCTTTTTTTTTGAAACCAGGAAGGGTGAAACCTTCAACTCTGTTGATCATTTAAAAAACTGTTTAGGATATTATGGGTTCCTTGCACTTCCATATTAATATTAGGACAAACTTATACATTTCTACAAAAAAGCCAACATAATTTCTCTTTCAGTAAAAATAATTATTTCACCTGAGAAATAATTTATCAATTTCATCCATGCTTTTAAGAAATAAGAATAGACAGATGCTAACTCTTAAGAAAAAAGATGGTAAGACACTTCCAAAAGTGATTCTTCAATGAATAGAATTCTATGCAACAGAGAATTCAGTTATAATTAAGAGAAAGAAACAGAAAATGGCTGGATTAAATCTTGTTTATATTACTTCTTATTTTCCTATATTTTCCTAAGAAACTATTTTGAAGAACATAAGATTCTTACATTTGTTGACACTGGCTTTTTCATAACATATGACACTACTTCTAAAAGTATTGTTTTAAAAGTGAGTTTTAACAAACCTAAGTAAAGATCCCCTAGAGAAGGGAAAGGCTACCCACTCCAGTATTCTGGCCTAGAGAATTCCATGGACTGTATAGTCCATGAGGTTGCAAAGAGTCGGACATGACTAAGTGACTTTCACTAAGTAAATTTGTTCATTACTAACTAGGAATTCCCAAACTGGCTCTATGATCGAATCCAATTCACCTCAATATACATTTGACAGGCTTATAATATCTGTTAAAAAAAAAAATTGTGCAACAAATGCAAAGATAGTATGTTGGTGAGGCGGAAATATGTGTAAATTATTCTGTTACAAGGCAGGTTCTTATCAATGCAATTTGAGAAAATTGAAGGCTAAGTCATTAAATTTTAAAATTAAAGCATAATTATATTCAATTAAGTGCAGATATTATTGAGTTCAAAGACTTTCACAAATGTATAAACTTGCCAGACATGATACCGAATGTACCTCAAAATTTCCCTGTGCACCCTTCTAATCAATCCCCTTCTAAGATCAAAAGTAACTTTTAATTTCTATTCCCACATATTGGTTAGACCTTCATGTTGTTGAAATTATAAGTACCTACTCTTTTGTGTCTTTATTCTTTCACCCAAAATGCTTCTTGGATTCATGAATGTTGTAATATGTATCAGTCTGGGATTCATGAATGTTGTAATATGTATCAGTCTGGGATTCATGAATGTTGTAATATGTATCAGTGTGTATCAGTCTGAGCAGTAGTCTGTTGAAAGATTATATCACAATTTACTTACCCATTCTTCTGATGAGCATTTGTTGTTTCTTTTTGGTATTTTGAATAAACTGGTCATTAATTCTGAATGAAAAACTAAGTTTTTTTTTTCTTTCCCATAACCCACAAATTCTTTTGGCCCAAGGAAAGAAGAGATGTGGTATTATGGGTGCTTATTATTTATTTTTTTCTAAGAATAGACTTAGTGAACATCTGACCTAAACCCTGCTTTGTAATGAAACATCTCTTATCTTTTGGGTGGATATAACTTTTGATGCCCAAGGACTTTGTTCTAATGCCAATCTTGATTAGAAAAGGCAGAAACTCTAACCTTATTTATCAGGCCCCCCTTGAGTAACAGTGTCAGCATTGAGAAAAGAAAAAATTATATAAAGCTGTTTTTTTGAAAGTTATTTTTACAATCCCAAGAGAACAGGTAAGGTGCTGGAAAAGCTGAAGTGAAGAAATAGAAAGGAAAGAGGCAGGGGTAGTGTTACTAAATGATATAATTAAGTCTTTCTTTTGGTTTGAAGATTTCTTTCCCCATCAAAATTAATTCATAAAGATACAATTTTATTTAATATTGTGTACCTGCCTTTCATTTAAGGTCAATTAAGTTATGATCTTATGAAGATTTTTGTATCTTTGCAAAACTGATAGAGGATCTCTTGGGGAGTTTGAGAGTTCTATCAATATATTTTAGTTTTTTTTTAAATTGAGGTATAATTGATGTATAGTTTTATATGTTTCAGGTGCACAACACAGTTTCATCACCATAGAAATATTCCTAAAGTGAAATTTTCTTTTTAAAAAAACTTTTTTATTGTGGCAAAATATACATAACATAAAACTTAACGTTTTAGCCATTTTTAAGCACATAGTTCAATGGCATGAAGTACAATCACATTGTTGTGTAGACTTTATTTAATCAGTACTTCTTAAACTGGAATTCTCAAGAGTATTTGTAAATTTTAAAAGAACATTTTTTTTCCTTTAAAAAGGGTTTGTATATTATTCAGGATTAAGAATCAGTATTCTAGTTAATAAATTCCTCTTATAATATAGAATTTTTTTGTCTTGATAAATGAGAATTCTTTCCTTAGTAGTCTGACACAGAACGTTATGGTTTTTCCCTTTTTTACCTAGAAATGCGGAACAAAATTTAACTTTTAATGTGGTAATCATTTTCTCTGTTCCCAATATAATTATTTGCCTATATATTTATTTTTTTGTTCAGTTGCTCAGTCATGTCTGACTCTTTGTGACCCCAAGGACTACAGCACACCAGGCCTCCCAGTCCTTCACTATCTCCTGGAATGTGCTCAAACTCATGTCCATTGAGTTGATGATGCCATATATTTCTTTATTTTCCTTTAATTATAAATTGCCCTATGATTTATATTATACTTTGAAATTCTTTTATTAAGTAGATACTATATAAATTTTAAATGCACACTGCAATTTTTGGCTCAAAGTAGTAAACTATTAATTACAAATAACTGAATTCAATCTAAATTTTAGGGATTTTCTTCAATAGTAGCAACCAATATTTTTTAAGCATTTAAAATGTGCCAGGGGCTTCCCTGGTAGCTCAGTTGGTAAAGAACCCGTCTGCAATGCCGGAGACCCCGGTTGGATCCCTAGGTTGGCAGATTCACTGGAGAAGGAAATGGCTACCCACTCCAGTATTCTGGCCTGGAGAATTCCCTGGACTGTACAGTCCATGGGGTCGCAAAGAGTCGGACACGACTGAGCGACTTTCACTCACAATGTGCCAGGGCATTGTGCTAATCAATTTATTGTGAATTATACAGTAAAATCTTATGATGTAGGTACTACCGTCACCGTCCCCCACCCCCCCAACTTCAGAGGTTCAAAGAAATGAAAAAACCTTCCCCAATGTCGTGAAGCGGTTCTGTTAGGACTCAAGTCTTGCTGTACTCCAAGTCCAGACTCTTAACCATAATGCACATTATATCCCAAGCTGCATTCTGCTTTACATTACTTATGGTTTTTCTGAGCTTCTTTGTGGGAGAGTGCTCACGCCTTCTCCCAACGAAGCAGAACTCTGTCTTCTAACAAACTTTTTGCCCTTGCAACAAATTTCCTAGTCCACCCTCGATCTTGGTTCCGCTACAGAGACTGGTCCCTAAGATCTCAGTCCTTAACAGGGCCCCTCGCCCTCCCACCCTGGCAAACTCAGGAGGGCCCAATCCTCTCAAACTTTGCTCCCTGAGAAGAGCCTGGTCCCTTCAAACCCCGGATTTCCTACCACGGCCCCAACTCCTCAGACGAGATCCCGGCAGAGTCTCGTTCCATCAGGCCCTTGTCCCCCAGTTCTCAGACACTGCTTTCAAGCAGGTGCAGTACTTTCACCTCAGCAAACTTCACAGACTCCTTCATTACAAAGCTTCCATCCCAACTCCCAACTCAGGGCACCTCTCTACTTTTCCCCTCTCCAATTTTTCCTCAGAATCGTTTTTGTGTGTGTGTGTTTTTCTACTCTGCTCTTTTTCTTCGTCTTATTCACTCTCCTCAGCTTCCTGACCATCTGGTGGCCAGTTGCAGTCCCACGAGTGGCCCCCCAAACTTACCCGACACCCTCCGAGGAGCGGCGATCTCAAACCGCTCCGCGCTTTACCTCTCACCTTTGCTCAGGCGGTCTCCGCTAGACGCTCTTCCCCCCCCGACCCGCCCCGCCCGGAAAAGAATGTTTCGGCCAGTCTTCAAGCGAAGCCCCGCCCCTTCAAGTCTATTGGTCATTCCCCCCCAAAGTCCCGCCTCCCGAGCTTCCAGCCCCGCCTCCCTGCCCCGCAGCCCTTGTTTTCATTCCCCCTGTCACACGAGGCAGTGGCAAGCCCGAAGTGGGAGGAGCGGGAAGAGGGCGGAAAGTGAAAGGCACGGAGCGCCTCTCTTTCCTCCGTCTGACTGGATTCTCGACTGCTCTGGGCCGCCGTTGTATTGTGGGATCGCGGCGCCGTGACTGAGACGCCCGGATCGGCAGGGGCGCCCACTTGCTAGCGCCTCCTGTCGTCTGTAAGGTTGCCCTGCTGTTCCTCAGCACCCCAACTCCCTTCACCCCCCCATCGCCTCCTCCTCCTCCATCCTCCAGTTCAAAATGGCGGCGGCGGCGGCAGCGGCGGCGGCGATGGCTCCTCCGGGCTGCCCGGGTTCGTGTCCCAACTTCGCCGTAGTCTGCTCTTTCTTGGAGCGCTACGGGCCGCTGCTCGACCTGCCTGAGTTGCCGTTCCCGGAGCTCGAGCGGGTGCTGCAAGCTCCGCCGCCGGACGTCGGCAACGGAGAAGGTAAGCGAGGGGGCCCGAACGCCCGGCGGGAAGCGGCCCTGGCTTGCTCCTTCTCTCTGCTCCCCACAGACACCCCGAGCCTCCGCGGCTCTGTCCTCCCGCTGAGGCGCAGTTCCTCGCGGCCGGTCTCCTCCGCCCAGCCCCCGGGGGTCTCGGGCAGTGGGGAGGCGGGGCGGAGGCCCCGTAGGGCCAACTCCACCCGGCGCCCAGCAGAGGTGGGGGCGTCGTGGTCTGGGTCTGGGCTGGGCGCGGGGGGTGGGGGGGGGGTCGTTGTGCTGGTCGGCCGCACCCGGGGCTGCTACCCCGCGGTGGGGGCCGGGTCCCTCACCCCTTCTCCCTCTCGGTGGCGGAGGAAGGGGAGCGCAGGTTCCGGCCAGCTTTGCGCTTTTCTCCTCTACCCCTCCCTCGTTCCCTCCCCTCCTCCCACCATCCTCCCTACTATCTCGGGGGAGGCTGGGCTCGTCTTCTCCGGGCGCCCCTTTCTCTCCCTCCACCTGGGTGGGCGGGGGCCAGAGGACACTTCATCTCTCCCTCCCTCTAGTGGGAACTCCCCCGAGAGAGAATCGGCTCCGGTCTCCTTTCCCTTCCCCTCCAGGGCCGCTTTAACCCCCAAAACTCCTTTCCATGAGTCGGGAGGTTTGCTGCTCCTTCATAGGAAGGGGGTCCTCTAACATTCTCACTTTGCGAGGGGTGGTGAAGTCGCTTTTGCTTCTCCGCTTTGGTGGGCAGAGGGTTAATTTCTCCTCCCCCATAGTTTTCCTCCTCCTCCCTGCCCCCCCCCCCCCCCCCCAAATAATAGAAAAGCATCTCTCCACTTTTCGAGTCCCTTCCCCCTTCATCCTGGCAGTAAGGCTTAGGGGAAGAAGAAGTCGCCCTCCCATTTGAAGGGTAGGGTGGGGTGTTTAGTATGTAGGATGGAGGAGGGGCTCAGACGGAGGGGGAAACAGTTGAAGAAGGTGCTTGTTGCTCATGTTTCTCTCTCTGGTGCCGCCGGTCTATTATTGGTGTTCGCAAGTGGTGCTCCTTCCACATAAGGCCACCGCGCGGGTGCAGGGCGCATGCTCTGCCCGGCCCCATTGAAACTTCCTGCTGCTGCTTGCTGCTGCTGGTTCTTTTCGCTGGAGCATCTCCGCGCCGCGCCTGCTGCCTTCAGCCCTCACTGAGCGCGTACACTCACTCCCTGTTTATTCCCGATCTTTCCTCTCTTTTTCAGAGAAGGGTTTTTTGTTGTTGTTGTACTCTGAGCATAGCCTTTATCTCGGAACAGCCCGTGGCTGAAGAAGAAACGTTGTCCAAATAGGTCCTTTTTTCCCCTTTTTGTGCGTATTAGGTGGCCACTGTGTGGATGGGTACTGTGCAAAACAGATAGCTATTTCCTTTTCAAGAAATCAGGGTGTTTTCAATTCTCCGTGGGAATGAAGTTTCTGTTAATAGAATACATTTACATTGCTAGGGAGAGCCCAAGTGTGAAGTTGTCCAAAATATTACCTAGAGAGTAAATTATGTTGTGGCTACCAAAGACTCATATGAATACAACAATTATGGTACAGGCAAATATCTCTCCTTACCTGCCCAAGTCTCCTCCACCATTAAAAAGCTCCGGCCAGCAAAAGATTACATTATATAAAGACATTGCAGAATTTCTTAAAAAGTTAAACTCCCCAATATAGTAGTTACAATTTGATATCAATTGTTATCAAGTTGTATTTACATTTTTTATGGAAATAGTCATTTTGAAGGACGTATGCCTTGTAAGTTACTTTTAGGATATCTTGGGAAATGATGGTAATGTATCTATAAGAAAAATGTGGGAATTTGAGGAAAGGGATTGCTGGTAACTTGTTTTTGGAATATATGATATTTCAACCAAGTTGAAATGCAGGCATAAACTTTATGTCATGGCACTCTATTTGGGGTGGTATATAAGATTGCTTGACTCTCCATTCCTTAAAAGTGTTTCGGCCTCTGCATTTGGCTTTTGTTAGAAACAAGAAAAAAAAATATCAGGGTTAGTCTAATACTTCATATTACTTTCTAGCTAGTATTGAATAGTGAGTGACTAGCTAAGTTAAAAATGAGAAATAATGCACGCCAAGAGAATATACCAGTGGGTTCAGCCACGCATTATTGTTGGTAAAGTTTCAACTATGATAATAGGTTTTGTCATCAGTTGATCTAAGAATAATAATCAGTGTCACACAGTTCAAGATACTTGGCAAATGAAGTCTCTGCAGGTGAAATGCTGTGCAGGGAGGAGACTTTCAGGCCTTTAGTGATGGTTAACCTACTTGTAATAATTGATAATACTGCTCCAACTAAGAATGTTTGGACAGAGTCTTGGAGAAGGAGTTGTGGTGTTGAACTTGGGCACTGTAGTCAAAGTGCCAAATTCTAACCACTGAACCCCAGGGAATTCCTGAAATACTCTTGTGTTACAAATTTTATTAAAGGTATTTATGAGGTAAAAGACACAAAAGTGCAATTGGACTGAAAATGTTAATTTTTAGCATGTCGTGAGAAAGGACTTTAAGCACAGTACAATGTTGAGCTTTTGTGCTCTTGGGAGATAGTCTTTGTTGTAATCAAAGGAGTTTTGCCTGTATACATTTTAATATTCTTAAAAGGCAGTTCTTAGTGCTGTTGAAAGAATTCTGTTGTATAAAACTTGGTTTTTCCTGGTGTGATTATACCTTAAAAAGTTTGTAAAGTATGCTTTTCTGAGTTGCCAGTTAAATATTTTTCACCTAGTCATTTATTGTGGTAGGTATATCAACACCATAACATCTTTGGAGAAGACCATTTCTCTATATTGTTCTTGTTTAGGCACTTGATGATTTTTCCCTTAAGTTTTTGTTTATAAGTCTTATTTTGACATTATGGCTTCAGCTTAGAATGCTTCCTTTATCCCCTACAGTGTCAATTATTAATTTTTATTTTATTTAAAAAATATTTATTTATTTGGCACACTGGGCCTTAGTTGTGGCATGTAGAATCTTCACTCTTCATTGTGGCATGACGAATTTTTAGTGGCATTTGGGATCTAATTCCCTGACCAGTGATCGAACCCAGGCCCCTTACATTAGGAGTGCAGAGTTTCAGCCAGTGGACCACCAGGGAAGTCCCAAATTTGGCTTTATAAGCTACTTTTTTAGTCTTAGGATATAATAATAGCTACCACTTACTGAGCATTTACTGTGTGCAAACATCTCCTTATTCCTTATAGCTACACTCTGAGGTTGGTACTGTTATTCCCATTTGGCAAGTATAGAAACTAAGGTTCAGGAGGTTGATTCAGCTGTTCAGTGTCCAACCTTATATAGTTTTTGCTAGAATCTTATTTAGATTTCATAGTGATATTAGTTGGAATAGGAAAATGGTGTGCCAACTGACACTGTAGCCCTCCCAGTTCTCCATCTAATTAGCCCTCACAATTCGGTGCTCTGTATGGACTTCACCAGTGTCCTCTTGATGAGTGGTGGTTGATCAGGAGGTATGAATATGAATAAAAGTTGACATTGGCTTTGTGGGATTACCAACATCCTAGGCTCCCCAATATATTCCCTCTTCTCCAGAGGACTTTCTTCTTCAAGAGGAAAATATACTTTTCCATCCTTTAAAGGTAGTCTTAGTATGGGTACTGGTTGAGAAGTTATATTTATCTAATAACAGTATTCTTGCCTGGAGAATCCTGTGGATGGAGGAGCCTGGTGGGCTGCCGTCAGTGAGGTCACAGAGTCCGACACGACTGAAGCGACTTAGCATGCATGCAATAACAGTCTACTAAGCTGTGTATGTATATGGTTGACTGGGTTATTATAAAGTACTAAATAAGTTGAATAATTAGGTTTTTGGTTTGTTGGGGTTTTTAAATTTTAATTTTTAGAGCAATTTTAGGTTTGATTTGTGTTTTGAGGTTTTTTTTAATGATTTGAATTGGAACTCGTGGTCAAAATGTCAAGTATTTATAAAAGGATATACTTTTTTGTTTTAACTAGAGTTGTGACTGTAACTTAATATGTTCTCTTCTGTTAGTGATAACTGAATTGTGTGACAGTAGTTTTTAGGTTCATTCATAAATTAGAAAGATGACTTTACTGTAACTGGAGTCACCATCTGTTACTTTGAGCAAAAGATCTTACCAGGTACATGTGCCAGGAGTTGCATGGATCCACAGTGGTAGACTGTTGGTGGTAGCATTGCTGAAACCAGAGCCTTATTTGGTTGAAATGTTCAGTTTCAGTTCTTCTACCTTTAAAAGAAGAGATGTTCTTTATTATTAGAGGGAAAGAGAGAGAAGTATTTCTTCATCATTTTTGGTATATCATATAGTTGAGGTAATCAAAAGTTACAGAGGATTGGAGGGAGGTTGTTGGTCTTGTCCCAGAAATGGAGGTACTAGGGACAGAAGGAATTTTCTGGCTAAATTGGGCCTGTTAATGAAAACTGACTTTCTTGTTGTTTTAGTTACTAAGAAGTTTGCCTTGAAATTTATCTGTGTTTTTAAATTCTCAGTAAGGAAGACAAGCATTTATTAGCTACTTCTTTTGCTTATAGGTTTAGTGAATATTTGCTATATTTTAATTACAATAATCATTATGGTGATTATTTATTTTGAAAAATACCCTCTTTTTTTTTGGCCCCTCAGCTTGTGGGATTTTAGTTTTCAGACCAGGGTTTGAACCCAAGTACTTGCCGATGAGAGCGTAGAGTCCTAACCACTGGAGTAGGGGATTCCCTATGGTGATTATTTAAAGAAAAAAATTAAACCTTTCCTTTTTAAAAAATGTATTTATTTTATTTTTGGCTGCATTAGGGTTTTGTTGCTGGGTGTGGGCTTTCTCTAGTTGCAGCGTGTGGGGTCTGCTGACGCGCGGGCGTCTCGTGGTGGTGGCGTCTCTTGTTGCGGAGCACAGGCTCTAGGTGTAGCAGGCTTCAGTCACTGGGTGTGGGCTCAGCGGTTGTAGCTCACGGGCTCCGGAGCGCCAGCTCAGCGGTTAGGG